TTGATCACAAACTTTTAGAGATACTTTGGGTTGACTTGTATTTCAGCTGCTAGCTTGGTGTGAGAATATCTCCTGTCGATTTAAGCTTTGGTGTTGCATTAATTTATAGATGCCAAGGTAGAGCTACGATTAAAATTGTTTATGGAAACTTTCCATTTATTCCAAACTCTCCTTTATGTCTGTGGCAAGCGTTTTGTGCCTCACTAATCCAAAATGTTCTCTCTCCAGGCGTGTATTGTGATTGATTCATGTTTTGTAGAATAGCTGTATAAATAGTATCTCTCACTAATTCTTGATGCTAATGCACCGCTAACCTTCACCATTTTTATGACCATGGGGCGTAATGATAGTGCTCTCTCGTGGCCGTGTAGTCTGCTCTGCTGCGGTAAGAGTCAGGGTATTCTCGTCTCTTCGAAGTGCTTCATTAGTTAGTTAGTCCCGCCCAACGAAGTAAAAGAAACTAGTCGCCCATTTTGGAAAAGAAAAGAACCTTAGCAAATAATGCACGACCTAAGCACTAGAGAAAACAAAACTATCATACACGTTTAACTTGATTTACTCTTTATGTAAGTAGGGAATTCGATTTCCTTGGTGCAGAAGGGCAAATTAACATTCTGCACTTTGTTTCCACAATCAGAGACTTTGTAATAACCCAAAAACGCCTGAAGCCATTGGCTATCTGAAGTTGTTTATCGGCGGCTTTTTCTGGAGCATATGCAATAGTTGGCGCTTGGGTTGTGGCTCTCATGTTTGCTTGTTCTCTCATACCTATGTTGGATGAATTGGGTACACTTGTGAGGATAGATGCAACTATTTTCAGTGTGGTTTTATACCCCTCCCATGTTACTGTGGTTAGTGTATTATTCCAATATCGCTGGGATAAACATCAAAATCACAAACAGAGGTGATGTAACATGAACCGGTATTACTGCCTAGGTACTTCAGCATCAAAACGACTGTTAACCCAGCTACCACAGAAAATGCATTCAAATGCTGTGTTGCCGAGCATGCGGCACGGCCACCATTGTTATCTTCTTCAGAAGACAGTATTATGAGCAGCTTAGGATCCCATTTCCTCCTACTTATTTTTGTTAACTAGTTTCACCAGAAGTAGGGATCTAGGTGGGAGAGCAGTTCTAACTAATTGTTTGGGGCCTCTGTTTCTGTGCTTGTTTCGAGTGATCGTTATTTCACATATTACAGTGAGGTTCATTATCTAACGCTTTCTGAGTTTTCTTACAGTCCTATAGATGGCACAGGTATTCAGTGTTTGACAAGGCTTTTACCAGCAACACCTTCTTATATAACTCGTAATCACTAAGATATCGAAAGACAGAATCGAGGAGATCAGAAGTTGTATTTGACGATTGACAATATATCGGAATTGTCTGATCTGATCTGGCTAGCGGTTGCGGTAGATGTTGAGCACAGCATTCCCACATGTGATCTGGTGCGGATGCATGACCGAGCACCTTCAGCTAGGTGAGTCCATTAAAACTAATCTGGTCAGCATCCAATGCCGAAAACTTACAGAGCTATTCATTTTAGGGATTTATTTACCGCTACAATCCTTTAACTAGAAACAGGGATTTTCGACATATTACTTTGATTTAAGACCTCTATCTGTCTTCCTCGTAATTATACAGTAAGTACCGGTGGCAACGTTATTACTGTACATGGTACTCAATAGACCTACTACCACGTCTTATGAGACTAATGATTATAATGACAATAGTAATAATAATTGTCATAAAAAATTTGCCTCATTTTTACTCTTGTCACATACACTCACACTTCTGTCTATGAACTTCAATTTATTTATTCTTTTGTTCAACTTATTGATGGTTTTTTCTTCACCCTCATTTTTACTCAACTGCATTCTAATTTCAGAATTTTCACTTTTCAACCAACCATTCTCCTGACCTGTAACGTGATTTGCGATGGCTTGAGCGGCTCTACTGCCTCACAGAAATGCGTCTACTTAAAGTCACTATGTGTCAACCAACAAATACCTGTTGAGTTCATTAGGTTAATTGCAACCGAGTGGTCGGAATACTTTCAGTGAGCGCTATTAAGATTCAGATTCAGATTTGTGTAGTAAGGACAGAAGGCCTACGGCCTATGTTATTCCTTTTCTAGTATGCTTCTGTGAGTGTCCAGTCTTCTCTTGAAAGAGTCAATTAAAGGTGCGGATACCACTGCTTCAGGCAGCAAGTTCCAAGTATTGATGACTCGGTGTGAAAACCTGTATGCCACGGGTATTTTGTTCGTTCTTGGCTTTTCTACTCGCCTGCTATGTCCTCTGAGGTGTCCCGATCTAGTGGGAAGAAAGAGAGAGAATAAGTTTGGTCCGAAATCATTTCTCAGTATTCTGTACATCAAGATTAGATCTCCCCTTAGTCTGCGATAGGACAGAGTAAAGAGGTTCAGTTTTTCAAGCCTCTCTTTATATGATAAACCCCGGAGTTCCGGAATTGCACGCGTAGCTGCCCTTTGTACCTTTTCTAGTATGTCTGAGTCACCTTTTAAACAGGGGCTTGCAGCCTGAACACAGTTCTCTAACTTGGTTCTCACTAAGGATGTGTATAATGTGGTGAACATGGTAGTATCAAGCTTAGTCAATATCCTTTTTAAAGCCCAGAGGGTTCGAAACCCCTTAACTGCGACCTCCCGGGAATGGGCCGTCGTCTTAAGATCATTGCTCACTGTCACCCCTAGGTCCTTATGAGACCGGACTACGGGTAATGATACATCCCCTATGTTGTACGTATTAACCTTTGAATCCCCCAAGTGCATGTAGACACACTTTTCCGAGTTGATAGGCATTAGCCACTCTTTAGACCAGTTTATCATATTATTTTAGTCTGCCTGAAGAGTAAATGCGTCTGTCTCCAGTTATTACTCGCCAAATTCTTACATCGTCAGCGTATAATAACATTGGAGACTGTACTATACTTGTAAGATCATTAACGTACATTATAAAAAGTAAAGGACCTAAGACGGAACCTTGGGGTACTCCACTAAGTACTGGTCTCCAGATGGAGCACTTGGAATTTATTCTTACTTTTTGCCTACGACCTACTAGGAAATCCTTAATCCATTTAAAAAGAGGTCCGGCAATACCAAGGTTTGCCAACTTCAATAGCAGTCTACTAGTTGGCACCTTGTCAAAAGCCTTACTGAAGTCTATGTAGACAACATCCACTGAGTTTCCGTTGTCTAGCGCATTAATCGAGAGCTCCCTAGCTATAAAGGAGGTTCGTTGTACAGGAGAGACCCTTTCTAAAACCATGTTGTGCCATGTTCAGCAAGTTATTGGTTTCCATAAATGCTGTTATGGTCCGTTTGATTATCCTTTCCAGTATTTTAATTACAACACTAGTGAGGCTTACGGGTCTGTAATTTGATGGAACTTGTCGTGGACCTGTTTTATGTATGGGAGTGACGATTGCGTCCTTCCAGTCCATAGGTAACACACCTTGGTCAAGTGACATTTTGAATATCACAGTCAGTGGGGCTGCGATATATTCGGCAATATGTCTCAAGATTTTAGGTGTAGTTCATCTGGTCCTGTTGACTTCTCCATGTTTAGGGTGCTAAGAGCCTTAAGCACATCGTTTTGGTCGAAGTCCACGGCGAGCAGCTGGTTTGTTGACTCTGTAATTGGGTCTGGTTCTTTCTCTAGAGGAGGTTCCTGAGTGAAAACTGCCCCAAAGTAGTCAGCCATAACCTCAGCTTTTTCCTCATCTTCCTCTATCATTTCAGATTCACTTCCTACTTTAATTAGGTTGGGAATCCAGTGATGAGTCCTTGTTCTGTAGTTTATGTACGAGAATATCCTCTTGGGCTGCTTGAATGCAGATTCTGCCAGCTGCATTTCATATTTTCTTTGCACTTCCCGAATTTTAGTTATACACACGTTTCTTATCGATCTGTAGTGTTCCATCGTACCTGCTGTGCCAAGGCGGATGGCAACATCCCAGCATTTCTTCTTTTGTCTTAGTAAGCGTCGAATATCCCGCCCTGACCAGGGATGTCCGTGCTTCTTTTTCTTTGGAACTGTCCAGGGTATATATGGTTGAGTTACCCGATTGTATAACTGCCTGAATAGAGTCCATGCCTATTGTTCTGATGCCCTTGAGTCAATTTCCCAGTTCTCAGCCGATGCTGCGGAGTTAATTGCCTCTATATCTGCCTTCCATATGTTAGGACGGGCCGGCGCAATTGTTTGAGAAGCAATTTCAGCCATGAATTTGAATAAGATGACTGCATGGTCACTTCTCCCAAGTGGTGGGAGAAAAGCCGTTTGACCAACGTCATCACCGTGTGTGAAGACTAAATCTAAAAGAGAGGAAGAGTTTCTTAAGTCGTATCTTGTGGGATCTCTAATGTGTTGGAATAATGCTAGTCCAATAGAGGTTTCTAACAGTTTGGAGTCGAACGACGATATAGATGACTCTACTTCTAAGTTAACCCAGTTTATATATGGTGCATTAAAGTCGCCTACTACAAGGCTTTTACCGTTGTTACACCAGGACTTAAGTTTACTGAGGAGAAAATCATCTGCTACACATTCTGGACTGCGATAAACTACAACTACTTCAATATCTTGCCTTCGGCATTTCAACTTACATCTCACCAGTTCACATGTCCCTGAAACATGTGCTACTGTCTCAGCTAATCTTATGGTTAGGGTACTTTTCGTGTACACAATAACCCCGCCTCCCCTTCGGTTTAATCTATCAGCCCTACTGGTTATGAAACCAGTCAATTGGATTTCACTATCTAATACTTCTGACGTTAACCAAGTTTCCGAGACAGCGATAACGTCCGGTTTTTCTTTATCCACCTGTAATCGTGCCGCAACATCAGAAACCGAACAAAATATAATCATTCGATCCATAATAGCTCCTTATAAACATTTTTCAGATACAAGTTGGTTATGAACTACACGTTTTATATGACGGTCATTATGACAACGCATCGCACATATTTGAATGTTTAACTGCACATCAAGGTAATTTGTGAACGGAAAACAGAAAACGAAATTATATACCAGGGCCTTGTTGTGTAGCCTGGATTTTTAAATTTTTGAACTTGTTTATTAGATACATGCACTAACTTCATCCATTGTCCACAGACTCGTGAATTGTTTTTTTCACATTATTTTGTCATGAAGAACGTAATATTCTTATGAGATTTATGACTTAAGAGCTATATGATTTTAGAAGGTAAATGATTTAAAGGGTTTGCTCAGAAAACAGTTTATTTTTCACACGTAATGTGTTTCAGTATGTTTTTAAGCCGATATATTGACCGAAATGCTGAATAAATATTTGGTGAAATATGGTCATTCAAGATGTTTGACCAATACCTTCGTGTATTCCGTTTCAGTTTCGGCTTTGTTAACATTTGATGGTTGATAACTAAGTTTCATAGACTGTAGGATTGGTTTCATAGAATGTAGTGAAATTTGTTAATTTAATAAATGTCAAATTTGGCAAATTGTTTTACCATTGTTTATATCCTCTTGTTTCTTTCGACTATTTGGCTTGATTCCTCGAGAAAATCATTATGTTGTCTAAATCAGAAGATATCTGTGCCATCTTCGCTGTTATTAGATTTTGACTGTTCATCATCTTGCAGCTAGACGATAATTCACCAAAATAATTGTATATCCTCTTAACTTGTTAACAGGTAGACAATAAATAAAGTTCATTTTGAAGGTTTTATTTTCTTTGCTAACAGCTTGAACGTGGAGGCGCAATCTGACATGAATATTTCGAGAGAGTGGTTATCGGACCAAAAATAATTGGTGAAAGCTAGGTTAATCATCCACAGAAACTCAGCTTTCACTATGTCATTTGTAACTGATGACGTAGAGTGGGGATAAAATTCTATAGGTTCTTTTATCTTAGAACCTCGAACTACGTTTACGACTTTACCTGTGCATACCAAAGTGTATACATTAGAAGGATAGGTATAAGAGCAGATATCCACATTTCCATGTATGCCTAAAGAATTTAAGAACGAGAGGAGTAACGGCTGCAAGTGGAACAGTAGGTCAGCATTAAATCGATACCAGGCGCAATGTTGATATTTTTGGATTCTTTAAAACCTTCAGCGAACAAAACAATGGAGCGTTTATACAATCTGCCGAATCAGCAACAATTAAAAATTCAAACTTAGTAAATGTTATCAAAAAGAGACAGTAATAGATTTTTCATTACCTTGATGAATTAATAGACTTGAATAAAACCGTCCAAAATTGTTATTTATTAGTGTTTATCTCTTTGCAGAATCTTTGATAAACTAATTCTTACCATTCATTCATCGGTTTTTTCACCCGCTCAATCCTTCAGACCTACATAAACTCTTCTTATGTTGTATAGTTACTACGGTAGTCTCAATTATGAATTAGAGGCTGACTACCTCACTGATCTAAATCTTCCATACACATTTTCAAGTGATCTAAAATTTAAGTAAACTGTTTACACGTTCCATAACTACTACGCAGTCCATCTTGTCTGCTTTAGTTACCACCTCACCTTTCACTGATTTTCAATCCCACCTTTAAATGGCCCTACGTATATTCATCGACAGATATATGTATATTATGGATAATCTTTGTTGTTCTAGTTCTTTTCGTCGCCAATGTCGATTGCTTCATATTACATATTATATCAATGTTACACTTCTATATATATACGGTTGTAAGCAGCTGATGGGAAACCATGAAATATAATCGATTGATATTATTCTGTTTTGAATGTTGTTTTTCTCTTCATTAAAATTTGTAAAAAAAAACAGTTGGATGAGATGAGAAATATTTACCATAAATTTCTCTAAAGTTAGAGTTGTATAAAATATGTTTTGGCATCATATAGCCGACAAATATCTTAGGTTTACTGAAAGAAATGTGGTCTTTTATGCCTATTATAACGAAACGAATGTTGTAACAGTTAAAGGCTGGTTTTTTGAACTATTTTTAAGTGTACTTTTGTTCAAACACTACTGAGTAACTAGATTTCTATGTATTTATATTCCATTCATTGCGAGCTTTTTTTCATTCCCTAACTGCTGTTATATGACTTACTATTCCTAATTTTTTCCCAGTCTACTACTTAGTTTCTCCTGATCATAGATGGTCTTGACCCGTTTATGTTTAAATAGTACTTTCCATATTATTGTCTAATGTGGTGTGATATGTCTGGGTATACAGCACATCTGTTCGGAACGTAAATATAGTCGAGGAGGGGTCGCTACTTTGGGATGCGTCTAGGGTAAGTCACGTCATTTGGGTTAAATCGAGTGAATTACTACACTTGGACCTTGAGTGTGTGTCTCAAAGACACATCATACACCAAAGCAAAACAATTCCATCAATAACATCATTAATTTAATTTAGGTAAGCCAAATCAATTTATAATCAACTCCATGACTAAGTGTCGATCAAGACTAATCTTAGTTCACGATTGTCCTTCCATGATAGAACTGTATATTTTACGCACTCTTAGTTGGTAATGAGACATCCAGATAAAAGCAGCAGTTTGATGGTTGAATCATCTTACATTTGATAATAATACCACAAGCTCTTAAATAAATAAACATATGGCTAGAAAAAGGTTACATAGTCTGTACTTGGTCATTGAGTTTAATAAAATCAGTGTAGTACATCACGCAAGCAAGATGTCACTTTCACAGTTCATATATCATTAGTTATTGTGCTAAATGCCCCATAAAATGTCATATTTAGTATAATTATGTGAAATGTTTTATGTAACTGCTCAATTTTCCCACGTTTCTTCTTTATTCATCTTCTTCAAAACAGTGCTTTTCTATGAATTTAAAACTATACGATTTCCAAATCTCAGAATTTATATAAAGCCTAATGACAACGGAAACACTGAAAGAAAAGGATATCGGTAATTGCGAATGCAGTGAAAAAATATCTGAGGAAAAAGTAAGTTGTCACTCAAAAACAATAATAACAATAACTTGAAAGACATAGCCAAGCCAAAATATCATAAAGGCAATGCCGGAAATATTAGGCAAAATTTATTGAAGGAACGAATTGGCAAAATGGGAATTTTCAAAATTTATTGATTGCATATTTATTAGGCCTTTAGGTTTTATTGTTTCCGTACTACCCTAGTTTCAAGTTTTTATTTGAATTGTAAACTGTTGCTATAGCGTTTTCTACTCATAAACTAGAATTGGTTATTAATGTACCCAGTACTCTGTTTTTCTCATCATTACTGCTGTTGTTTAGTGTTAGTACTGTTGCTCTATAGGTCTGTTGCGTCGTCTAGTCTTGTATATATATATATATATATATATATATATATATATATATATATATATATATAATGTCGAACTGACGATCATTTTTCTCGTGTTATTCCTCTTTGTTCGGGATTAGAAAGTATTGGGCCAACCGTCAAGCATGGAGTATCAGTCACTTGTTGCGTATTGGTTGCTTAAAGTCATGTATGCGCATTAGTCGATTGTAGGACATTACAGAAATGATTCTAAAAGTATGTTGTGAGGATCTTTCTTTCAATATTGTTTGAGTGCAGATGGACTCAAATTTAGAAACATATTTAAAACAGACTTGATTTTAACCTTTGATAATCCTCACTTGTCATATTATCTGATTGATAATCCATAAGTTTTGTTGAGCTTATATTTCACGAAAGATCGATTTCTTATCAAGCCAATTAAGCAGATGTTAAAACATTGCTGGTTATAGTTGAGGTACTATGCATTTCACATATTGATCTCTGTAAACATGGGTTCATCCAAACATTTTTATATGTTCAGCGCCATAATATTCTGGGTTAAATACGTCGAATAATTACAACAAGCAACTAATTTTATCACCTCATCGGTCAGTCAGTTATATGCGTCAGAGAGGTACTTAAAGTACTATGGTGTCTTCCTGATTATCAAAAGTAATGGACTGATATTTGATGGTTTGACGGAACTAACGGAAAGCTATGGACTAAGGTTTCTACAGTATTCAAAGAACTGATCCATTCTTTATAAGGCTTCCTGATGACCATTAATTTCCATCATCTAGCGTTTTTTTGTGAGAAACTTGTTAAAATACCCTGTGCTGAGAATTCTATATTGTACCAAAATGTAATATTGAATAAAGCCATTAATAATAATAATAATAATAATAATAATAATAATAATAATAATTCTGGTTATCTAGTCATATCAGCACGGGAAAATGAAATTATGGAGACGAATGCCTGATTAATAGAAGTATTAATAACATCAGTAATAGCAGAGGAGACTAGATATTTCTAGTATCATTCAAGAAAGAATAAGTTTTCGGAATCGAAATCATGCGGTAATTTTAGAACTTAACATCAATGGAAAGACAAAGGATAAATACATCTGAGCCATTTAATTTCATGTCTAATTTAATTTAATGTTTATTTAAACTCATAAACATTAGTCCAAGGAAGCATCAAACAGATGTGCACCACACTGAGTCATTTGGTCTGTGTGAGGGCTGGGATACTGTTCGGGTGCCCAAACCAAAGCATGTGGTTTTCTTAGGGGGCCACACCTGGAGCCTTCGACCTAACGGTCTGATCCACAAAGCAGTAGAGCATCGTAAGGAGATGCAGTCACATGGTTGTTGGTGACCGATTGCTGATTCATACGCCATTTGTTCCTTCAGGATCCTGGAGTCCATGTACACCATTGGTTTGGAATCAAAGTTTTCCAACTCCCCTGAGTGAATTCTCCATATCCACCAGTTACATAATGTATGATTTATGAAAAAAATGAATACATTAGACAGTAATTTACTCTGTAACATTCTATAGAAATGAGATGGAAATCTTAAAAGTTTAGAACCAATTCATAGAGTTCATTGATTACCGTTTAGAGATCTTATTATCTATCTGCTTATCCAAGAGACTGAACATTTAATGGTTATGAACTATTTTCATGATTATTGTTGTAAAACTATTTATATAAGTTTCTGTTTATAAGATTAACATGTACAAATGTACATATTCTGATTGGTTACTCAGGGTCACAAGATTAATCAGTAGTGACATGTCCTTTTGTTTTACATAGCAATTCGCGGCCTACCTGAACATCTAGGCTATTTGATCCTTCCTTTTAGATATTTCGACACATTATCTGTTTTTTTTGTTATAACACATCGTTATGCCTATTAATCACATAACCTATTAAGTCGGGTTTACGAAAGGTGTGCAACCTTCCGCTGTACAAGTTAGAGAAAAGCTCAGTCAGAGACATAGTGGTTGCTGGTAATATGAAGTGAAAAGTATGTGCATTATTTAGATGTCGATTGACTGAACTGCTAACTTCCAATTAGCGACCATATGATAGCTTAATCAAATACGGTTTTGTGGATATTATAGTAATTTAATAATTGAATTCATCGTGAAAAATCTTGAAGCACTGGACGGCCGTTTCGTCTTACCATAGAACTCCTCACTAGTGTGTATTCACGACCCAACCTCGCGAGATTCGAACCCAGAACCTATCGATCTTGCATGAAAATACTTAACCTCTAGATCACAGAGCAAGCATTAAGCGGTGTTAATGTCTAACTTCAACCAATCCACGAAATTGCACCACCATCCAACATTGTCTTCAATGAATTACTATCTCACAACAGACCCAGTTGAACTCCATCGGTCACTGTTTCTCACTAGAACTCTAGGAGATAACTCTTGTAGACAGTCACTAATGAGCATATGATGATTATAATCAGACAGGGGTTTAGCAAAGATTATAGTAATTTAATAATTGAAGCTAGACCACCATAGAAAACCTAGAATCATTAGACAACCGTTTCATCTTAGTATGGAACTGCTCAGCAGTGTGTATTCACAATCCCACCTCTTAAGATTCCAACCCAAAAACCTATTGATCTTATCCGCGAACACCTAACCTTTAGATCATACAGCCAATACTCAACACTTTTAATATCTAACTTCAGTCAATCTACTCTCTCACAACAGATCCAATGATCATCAGGATCAACTAAGAAATAAGAAAAGGAAAACAAATGTTCAATTACTTAATACTATATGAATACTATACTATATCAAAGCCACTAATAATAATACTACTACTAATAATAATAATCAAAATCTATTTCTCTTAGATCTTAATTGAAGATACCGATGATGATGATTATAAATTAACTTTAAAAAATCTTTGGGGTACAGATATAGCTAATTATTTTTTAAATCCAAATTTTCAAAAAACTACAAAAATTAAAACAATTACAAATCAATCAATTACCAATCAATCAATTACAAATCAATCAATAAATGATAATCTTTTCATTGGTGGTTATCCAAATGGTATGTTACATGGTGCTCGTATACCATTTCATTATAAATTAAAATCATGGTTATTTGATTTAAAACAAATTAATATGAATCAATCAATTGATAATCGAAAATCGATAAAATCAATAAAATCGATTAAATCAATGAAATCAATAAAATGTCCTATAATTTCTCATTCACCAACTAGAACAAATAGTGTATTTAATTTAATTGATTTATTAAAATATCATATAGGAACAAATTATAGTGCACAATATTTATGGAATTTATTAAGATATAAATCATATGAACAATTAATTAATTATGAAAAACAATTAACTAATGAAGAACAAATTACATATAGTGCATTTACACATGATTATGTATTAAAGGGGAAAGAAAAGGTAAACTATGAAGGAGTTTTGTTTTCATTTTTTTTGGTATTAAATTGTACAGAGATGAACTAATCATGAACAGTTGCCTGGAAACATGCCTCTCCCCCCTCCCCTACTATGAGGTGACTGCTAGTCCTAAGTCGGAATAAAGAGAAGGAGGAGGAGGAGGAGGGTTAGGCATAAGGTTAGCGATCTCATCTTGTAGAAAAGTAATTTGCTATTTAAAAGGAAAAAAGTCGCAAAAAAATAATGAAATTCATTAGCTTGTAAATAGGAGATTTAATGTATACGTGCCTGTAAATGCCACGTATATACAAACATTGACAGGAAAGTCCTACTCACTGTCTTTTCTCACAGTGAAGGTGTTATTTACGAAATTGACGTCTAGAAGATCGAACGAATGAGAATGAGAACAGAGAATAATTAGTGTTGAAATGAAAGAACAATGAAATCTGAGACAATTGATTGATATTTTGCAAATGAAGTATTCATTGTATGGTTGAGAGTTTTTTTTCAATGAGATTTTGTAACCAAACATATTCGATTGTTCCCACTTGTCTTCTCTTTCACTATAATACCAGGTAAGGATAGATTTTGTCTTTCTTCCCTCAAGAGTATTTCAGTTACCAGTCGAACTCACACACTGAAAGTCTCATCGTTGAACTAAGCAACCTATTGAGTTAAGGTTTTGAACAAGATCAGGGTAACTTTTTGCTACTATTTTAGGGCATGTTTGAGTATTATACAAAAGTAATTCTATTATTGATTATGGATGATATTTAAATTTTGCGCAAAAAAACACAGAAACTTTATATCCTCGATTCTAATTGGCTTGTTTTCATTAATAATCTGATTAGGAATTAACTCATACCTGATTCATTTCTATTCTGTACTTTGTAAATAGTACCATTTCGTCCCGAAGGTTTCTTACTTCAATTGATGACCGAACATTAAATAACAAACCAATGGAAATAGTTCAGATTATGATGTTTATTGTAACTACGTTTTAACACCAGTTCATATTCTCAAATATCCGTAAACTTTAAACGTTTCAATGCAAAAATATAAATGAATTCAACTTAGCATTTAATAAGATACAACCTAGAGATAACTGGGTTACAAGATACTATTATTATTATTATTTATTATATGAACACATAAATATTGGAACAAAGTGGCACCGAATACATATGTACTGCACAAATCACTTGATTTGTATGTGGACTGTGATATTGCCCGAGTGCTTAGACCGAAACAGGTGGTTGTCTCAATGGTCCATGCAAGAAGCCTACGACTTAAACGTCTGATCCACAAGGTAGTGGAGCAACGTCAAGAGATGTAGTCACATGGTAGCTGGTCATCAACAATTGGTTCATACGCTATTTATTCCCTTAGGATCCTGAAGTCCATGTGCACCATTGGTTTGTAATGAGGGTTTTCCAACTCACCTAGGTGAACGCTCCATGTCTACCAACCCAGTTAAAGCCTTGGACATCCGCTTTTCGTCCTCTCAATTTCATGAAGAAAACCCGTGGTGCGAGAAGGCAGTGAGTAGGACTTCCCTGGCAGAAGCTGTATACGCGTGGCTATGTGAGAGCATTTCGAGAGGGAGAGTTGACTCTCCCCACTCTCGGCCGTCCCAGGGTATATGCGGGCAAAAACATGGACGAGACTAAATGTTATTACCATATAAACTTGTCATTAAGTGTCGAGCGCTTAACATTCAAATCATTGATTTGGAACCTAGTAGTTTACATCGATAACCTTAATCAATTATTGATGTCACACTTCTGTCTTCGATATCATTGGTGAGATTTATCTCATATTTGGAATGAGTGAACCTTACTGATCATGGATTCTGTCTAGACTATGAGGAATTATCGCTCGCAGTAATCTACTGATAAGCACTTGATGAGTCTTCAGTATCGGACAGCTATTATTTTAATTTAATAGTTGAACTCACGAGTCGATTGAAGCTAGACCATCATAGAAAATCTAGAAGTACTAGAAGGCCGCTTTATCCTAGTATTTCACTTCTCAGCAGTGTTCATCCACAATCCTACCTCGCGAGATTTGAGCCTAGACGCAGACGCCTAACCTCTAGACCACTGGGTTGGCCGGCATCCATCGGTGTTAATATCTAACTTCAACCAATCCACCCGACCGTTGTTGCTAACTTGACGTGGTGGTCGTCTTGCCTATCGTGATGAACAAATCGAGCTATACTGGTTGGAATAATCGTTCCTCAAGGTCCAACCATGCCAGACAGCTCGGTTGAAGCGCGGTAAGACTAAAAGCAGCTGACCAAAGTCCTACTGCTGACTGTACAGTAAGGTGTTTCTTTTAGACAACCAGCATAACAGCGATGCTACCTTCCCACAAGGAGGGGTGGGGTTAGAAAACACCTCGCCTTATCCCACAGATATCCATCTCCAGTGATAAGGTTTCAACAATTACGGAGCTAACACGAAAATTACCCACAAAAAGGTCGTGTGTGACCGACCTCAATCAGTTGTCTATTGGGCACTGTGATCGCGCTCTCAGATCACTAATACCACCTTTAAGCCAATTTTCTTTTCAGGTACCTCCAAAAGAACCCTTCCACGGTGTATGCAAACCGGGAAATGATAACTGTCCTCATATCTTTAACACCGCTCGACCGCTCAACTAATCCATTGTTTTTTTGTTGTTTTCTTCCTTTTTTTTCTCTCTCTAGCCACCTTTATGTGATTTCATTCGTGAAAATCCATCAAATTCATTAATGAATATCATGAAACAAATAAAATCACCATCGATTGAGAAACAATTACGTAAAATGAATTTATCTGTATCATGGGCTAATAGAAATCAAGATCAATTTCGTATGATCTCATTTCAACAAAATTTAAAAGATGCAATCAAATCCATTGAAAATAATCAGTTCACATCTTCATTATTGAATCATCATCAAATAAAAATAAAGCATGAATTGGATTCGAACTTAAAATTGAATGATCAACAAGTTGATCAATTAATGTCATTCTATCCTACGTTGAAAAATAAACAAAATGAAACATTCATTGATAATGATATTCAACCATTAGAAAAGTAAGTTCGTTATTCTATTCTGAAGAATTGTTATATATAGAATTGAGCTATATTGATGCATTTGAGTGAATAGCATCCAAATGTCTTTGGTATGGCCAAGGGTGGAGAAAGTCAGATCAGATCGATAGCATTCAATGTGTACTAAGAAGGACTTGATATTCATGACATTGATCATAACCCAGTGATCAATCAAATGTGATCACCATCTCAAAATGCTCTTTCATGACCACATGTATACAGCTACTGGGATGTTGTTTACGAAATCGAGAGGACGAAAAGAAAATATCTAGCGCTTAACCAAGTTGGCGGATATGAAGGATCCATCCGGTGGAGTTGAAAAACCCTTGGTACAAACCAATGATGCATGTGGACTCCAGGATCCTGAAGGAACAAATGGCCTATGGACCTATTGTCAGGTCACCGGCTACCATGAGACTGAATCTCCTGATATTGCTCCCCCACTGCCTTGTGGATTAGACGTTTAGGTCAAAGTTTCTGGTTATGGTCGCCTAGAAAAACAACCTGCTTCTGTCTGGGCACCCGGGCAGTATCACAGCTCACACACAAATCAAGTGACTTGTGTGGTGTATATATATTCGGTCGAAATAAAATCTTGGATAACTCTAAAGGCAACTTTGATATAACCTGATTAAACACCAGGCAACCATGATTTAAATTTTATAAATGAAATGAATATTTCGAAATAACAAAAAACAACGGGTAAATTATAAAGGGTGTATAGTTTTCAATTGTTGGGCTTTCTAATGTTATTATCTTAAATGTAACACTACCAACTTTAAAACTCATAAAACAACCTTGAACTCTCTGTATGTAACTTTCAAACCACAATTAAGTTAAGTGATTTAGATCTATAGTCCAACATTTTGTGAATGACCTACCGTGGTATATGCTACTGATGTCGACAGATACAAGTATTATATTTGTCACTAATCGAAAGTGAAATACCTCGAAGGAAAGAGAACGAGAACAGAGAATGATTAGTGTTGAAACGAAAGAACAATGAATTCTGAGACAATTGATTGACATTTTGCAAATGAAGTATCTACTGAATAGTTCTGAGATCTTACTAAATGATTGTTTAATTCTTTGTTAAAATACACTTGTGTTCTCGTTCACTACATTTGATGTCACTGCCAACCAGGAAATGGAAGGGTGCTGTTCTGTGAATGCCATTGCAGACCTGGAGCTGAAGTCCACAAATTATTAAACCACTCTTTCATTCACACATTTCCACTCACTTGATCCTCTTAAATTATGTTCAACTCTTCAAATTCTATTCCATTCTTACGTAACCCATCTTATCAGTTTTTTAATTCTATGAACCCTTCATTACCTTTAAAATTATCACACAATTGATCTTATCAGTCTCTGAACTCGATAGACTGAACTACTTCACCGGCGATCATCAGTTTAGGCTGTGAGTCAGGTCAGTCTAAAAGTAATATTTCACATTTAGAGGGAGAGAACTATATCCGACTGAAGGATTGTTTATTATTGTCTCTTTCAAGTAGCCTAAAAGGTCATGGTTTACATCTTATCAGTATACGGTTGTGGAGATTATTAAGTTTTTTTTATTGAGATCATGAACCGATTGATGTTAGACCACCATTGAAAACCTGGAAGCACCAGACGGCCGTTTCGTCCTATTGTGGGACTACTCAGCACAGCGCATCCACAATCCACGATCATATGTGTCTAATTTTCAAACGAAAATAATGTGAATTAGATATAACTGATTGTAATCGATTGAAAATATCATAATCAATCAGCTGGTTTTATATTCTAAATGTTTGAAGATGAACCATAAGAAGTCCTATACCAAAGTATTAGGGTAGTTGGCACTTCTCAACATGGCAGATCTATATTCTTACAGGAACTCACGTTTCCTGTGGGATTTAACCTAGCGCCATCTAGCTTCACAAAATTATGGGACGCTATTTGGATTACGATAAGAGTGAGATGTGGATGATACTCAATCTCATGTTTTTCCGTTTCTTAGTTGTGGTCTATTTTTATTGATTTCATTAAAGTTGATGGAGTTTTGTTCTTTGAGCTGGATAGTTTGGTCGTGGAACTTTCATCTTTCTTCTGAATGGCATCATCGACACAAACTCCAGGTATAAGTGAAATGTTCGAATTTCTCCACATTTGTGTTATAACTTGTGAATCTGTGTGCCTTGTATATTGGATAACGCAACGATACCGCCAATCAGAGAGCAGCGAATTATCGATCGAACCAGTGACGCGTAAAACACGTGCGAGCAGCCTAGAGTCCTGGTAGATCCTGCTTTCCGCTTAGCCCAGCCAGATAAGTTCAGAACACCAGTCTCAGCCTCTGCAATATAAATCCTTATATTTCAAACATACGGGGTTTATACACCAATCAAACAGACCACAACGTACCATAAAATAGAAAATAACATTTGTACAAAATGTGGCCAAAAGTGGCTGTGAGTGAGGGAGGTAGTGACTAATAAACAGGGAATAACTCAAGAACGGTAAAACGTATAATAATAGTTGATGGGTCAAATTAAAAGCTTAAAATAAGAGCGACGTGAATATGAACAGCTTAGTTACATAACAGTTATATGATAAAAATATACTCATAGTATTGGTTCATAAATGGATCCCAAAAGTTACCATTCATTATTCTTATCGGGATATAACAATTTTGTTAACAGCTTGTCCTGTAGGCCTTGATGTTGATTGGCTACTTCTTTGTTTTGGCTGTATCTCCCATTGGTTTGACTTTTAGTCCTATGTTTGTCCATAATTTTTCTGATCCAACAAGTAACAACCAGCACAAAACCCAGATGCAGAGTTTGTTGTTGGTTATCTACAATCACTTCATATCTATGAATACCACGTGTTATATAGAGTAATTTAGATTGATGATCCCATTGTAACTTGATTGATCAAGTCCTATGATCACTCACTGAAATGCACATGAGTTATACACACAATATATACGAATTCAGTCAATTGTAACTTATCATCCTTTGAATCAATGAACGAAGTGTTATATCCCGATAAGAATAATGAATGGTAACTTTTGGGATCCATTTATGAACCAATACTATGAGTATATTTTTATCATATAACTGTTATGTAACTAAGCTGTTCATATTCACGTCGCTCTTATTTTAAGCTTTTAATTTGACCCATCAACTATTATTATACGTTTTACCGTTCTTGAGTTATTCCCTGTTTATTAGTCACTACCTCCCTCACTCACAGCCACTTTTGGCCACATTTTGTACAAATGTTATTTTCTATTTTATGGTACGTTGTGGTCTGTTTGATTGGTGTATAAACCCCGTATGTTTGAAATATAAGGATTTATATTGCAGAGGCTGAGACTGGTGTTCTGAACTTATCTGGCTGGGCTAAGCGGAAATCAGGACCCATCAGAACTCTAGACTGCTTGCACGTGTTTTACGCGTCTTTGATTCGATCGATAAGTCACTACTCTCTAATCGGCGATCACAAGTTATAACACAAACTTCTATTAATACACTTTCCTTTTATTGATTATCAGTAGTTCATCATTTCTACAACATACAAGATGATATATCATTTGAATGAGTATTGTACTTTTAAATCTAATATAATGAGAGATTTGACAATATAAATCACATTGAATATTGCATTCAAGTCTTGAATATGAGTTAAATATCTAATTAGCATCTTATTAAATGTTGTAAACTGACTAGAATTGGATGTTCGGATTGACTGATTCCAAATCAACAATGGGTTGATTCTATTGTCATTCAGAAATTTGAAACTGACAGTTCAAACTAACAGGTTTAATCTAATCTGATGCAAGTTAATGATGAGAATTGTCATCATATAACAAAACAATCTAAATGTGGATCAAGCTGACTTATCATAATTTTTACGAAGTAAATCTTCATTAGTTTTTGTTCGCATATCTATCGGACAAAGACTCTGTGACCAATAAGCTAGCTAATGAAGTAGTTAGAAATCGGGTACTAGATAAGGATGGCAAATCAATTGGTGAAGTAGTAAATCTTCATCTGTTGAGATGGCTGGGACATGTGTTACGTGTTCTCAACCATCGACTACCTCAACGTGCGACGTTTTATGGTGTAGGAGTAGGTTGGAAGAAAGCTAGGGGCGGCCAAACCAAAACATAAAACAAATCCATGAAGTCATTGATAAATGGACTTAGCCATTTTGGTAAGTGCAGACTACCCGGTTGGGATCCGTGAGATGTTAGCAACCGATGGTTAGAGACCTTGAATGACATGGCTCAAAATCGTTTGCAATAGTGCAGGTGCATCCACTCCTTGTGTTCTCCCAAATTCTAATCTTCTGAATTCTTCATGTCCCTTTTTTTCCTCTTCCCAAATTTATTTCACTAGGTCATACTCCTTGGATAACGTACTCAAGCCCTAATCTTTTGATTAGTGCTTATACTTTTACTACCTCAAGTACTATTGGATTTGAATCAGTAACTGTATATCTGTGCTACTTTGGTATGGCAACTTGGACAGATGAACGTACGTACAAAGTTCTACGTTGTTGCTGACTGACTTAGTAAACCTATTCAGTTAGTTCTGTAAAACGATATAATGGACATTCTCTTTTTAACTTCTCAGCCTGTACGTACAAATAAATATATGCACACATGTTGTTCAAAGTGAGAAAAATAACAACACTTAATAGATGTTGAAGATTAACAAACTGAAAAACTAGTCATTCCGATATTTTTAAGCAAAACAACATTTAAATGGTTGATTTCATGAGTTAATTGAAGGTAGACCACACTGAACAGCCGTTTCGTCCTAGAATGGGACTTCTCAACAGTGCTCATATACGATCCAGGTTTTCCATGGTGATTTAACTTCAATGAACTCATGTACTCAACTATTAAATTACTATAATACCCACAAAACCCCTTCCTGATTACTTACTTACTTACTTACTTACTTACTTACTTACTTACTTACTTACTTACTTACTTACTTACGTACGCCTGTTATTCCTAATGGAGCATAGGCCATCAATTTCAAGTTCTATCCAATTTTTGTTCATTCTCCTCATGTTTGCCTCCATTTCTCGGCATAATTTGTCCTTTGGTCTCCTACTTCTCTTCTGGTCTTGAGGATTCCAAATGAAGCTTTGCCTTGTGATGCAGTTGGGTGATTAACTCAATGTGTATCTTATCTACTTCCAGCACTTCTTCCTGACTTCTTCCTCCGCTGGGATCTGGTTTGTTCTCTCCCACAGTAGATTGTTGCTGATAGTGTCTGGCCAACGGATCTAAAGTATTTTGCGTAGACAATTGTTACCAAACATTTGTATCTTTTGGATGGTGGCTTTCGTAGTTCTCCAAGTTTCCATCCCATTCAGTAGAGAATATCTAAATGACCAAGCAAAACATGGATGAGGAAACTTTCTCAATTAATAATCAGTTACTTATAAGTAGTATAGTATGTTTCACGAACTAAATACCACATGTTACTGATCGACAAAGTTTACTTTCACATATGAATATTTACAGTTACTTTCCAGATTACTCTAAAATACAAGATTCCATCAAGAAAATATCAAAATTACCTAATAGTGAAACTATGACAAAGAGGTCAACCAAATCATTTGATCATTTATCATTTTGGCATGCAAATCAATCAATCAAGTCTCCAAAGAAAACTGAAATAAAATATCAGTAAGTTTTTTTAACTAAGAAAATCAATTAAAATAACGTTCAATGAATGAATAACTTTGTGGTCAAATCCTTTAGTTTTCAACCTTTAGGTTCGAGTCCTGTATACGAGATCGTAGATGTGCATTGTTGAAGAATCCTATAGTAGGACAAAACCGCCATCTACTGCTTACAGGTTTTCAATGGTGATCTAACATTGGTCCATTCATTATATCAGTTTAAACTCAACAATCTTCACAACCCTATACTGATAATGGTCTTTATCTTCAATAAGTCTCCATTTTCACATCTATATCGATAAGGATTATCGGTTAGTTTCACGAACCTGTAGATGTAAGATTATAACTTTGACTTGAGCTTAGATTCTTACTACGCCGTGTATAACGTAAGCACTCGACGCTAGAACACTCCCAAGTGGAAAATGAGAAGACAGAAGATAAGTGGAAGGAATGTCATTTCAAACAGGGTCAATTATGGTACAAAACTGTTAGGTATTTATAGATTTTATTAAAAAAACGAAATCATCATTATAGTTATCCAATCTGCATACAGGGGGTTATTAACATTTGTTCAATAGAGAAGCTAGACGTCGTGATTCTGTAATATTTTTTCAAAAGATCCTTGAATGGAATATCTTCGGCTCTTTCTGTGCTTCTTAGAGCTTTCTCGAGTTCCCCTGTGGACTGCCCTCACAGAAAAGAAACTAAGTATTCTGTAGGTCAATTAAATTCTTTGATAGTTGAATACCGAATTAGTATTTATAAGTGAAATATGATAGATTGTATTCGAAGGGAATTCATAAGTCGATTTAAACTAGACTACCATTGAAAACTTGGAATCACTGGACGACCATTTCGTCCTAGTACAATTTATTCAGATCACACACCAGTATGAGTCGAACATCATATCAAACCCTTCATTGATGATATATTCTAACCAACAAAATGATTATGTTATAACCTGTGACTGCCAATTAGAGAGCAGTGACTTATCGATCAGATCAATGACGCGTAAACCCATATGAGCAGCCTAGAGTTCTGATTGGTCCTGATTTCCGCCTAGCGCAGAACACCAATTCGAGCCTCTGCGATATGAATCATTGTAGATTATCTACATAGTGTTTTTTCTTCTTTCTTATCTCTATTCAGATCTATAAACAATAAACAAGAGAAAACTTCATATCAACTTAAATCTTTAAGAAAACCATCTAATATTTCAATATCTACTTCACCAGTTGACAAGAAATTACAACCTCTTTGTTGGTCTGATCTACTTGAAACCAATAAACAAAAAAGAGATTATTCTAAACACATTAGTGAATTATATTCATCATTATCTAATGAGAATTCAAGAAATAATTCAATGGATTGTTCATTTATAAAGAAAACATTATGGAAACCAGCTAAAGCAATTGTATCATAACTTTATAATATTACTTTGTCTTCATCATCATCTTCTTCTTCATCGTTGTCCACACTGTCAGGATACTGTAACTTGGTGAATTATCTTTGCTTTTTTTATATTATTCAGAATCCCAATGATAACAAAGAGTTATTAGAAAAAAATAACACAGAATGGTTGTTTCGTTCTAATATGGGACTATTAAGCAAAGCGCATATGAAACAGTATCATACAAGGAATTGAAACCAAGACTTATGGTATCGTACATGAATGCTTAAACACTAGACTATTGAATCGGCTCACATTAGTGTATACATCCCAAATTTTAGTTAGTTCATGATATTGTGCGATTGTTTTCGTCTTCGTGTTGTCTAAATCTTATTTTACAACTATTCGAAGTATTGTCACATACTTACTTACGCCTGTTACTCCTCGTAAAGGAGCATAGACCGCTCACCAGCATTCTCCATCTAACACTGTCCTGGGCAATTTTTTCCAGCTCTTTCCAGTCGTTATTCATCCTTTTCATATCTGCTTCTAATTTCCCATGTAATGTGTTCTTTGGCCTTCCTCTTTTTCACTTCCCTTCAGGATTCCAAGTCAGGGCTTGCTGTGTGATGCAGTTTGATGATTTGCGTGAAGTATGTCCTATCCGTCTCCAAAAACTTTTCCTAATTTCCTCTTCGTCTAGAGGCTGGTTTATTTTCTCCAACCGTTGCTGATATTGAGTATCTTAAGTAGACAATTGTTTATAAATACTTGTATCTTCTTGATGATTGTGGTAGTTCTTTAAGTTTCAGTTCCATACAGTAGAACTAACTTGACGTTCGTATTGAAGATTCGGACTTTGATGTTGGTTGACAGTTGTTTTTAGTTTCATATGTTCTTCAACTGTAGGAATGCCGCTCTTGCATTACCAATCCTTGCCTTTACGTCCGCACCAGATCCTCCTTGTTCATTGGTGAAGCTTCCCAGATGCGTGAAATATTCCACATCTTCCATAGTTTCTCCAGCAAGTGTGATTGGGTTGGGGTTCTCTGTATCGTTTTTGAGGGTCTTGCTCTTTCCTTTGTGTAAATTGAAGCCTATATTTCTCTTATAACCTTATAAAAACGCTGATTGGAAGAATCACCTTCAACAATTTTCTGGATCATAAATACATTTTAAAGGAATTATCATAGACTCTTAACAGAATAAATGGTCTTTTTTCTCACCAAATTAACACGAGGTTAAACAATTCAAAGAGCAAATCGATTGTTTACTTATAACAATTAAATCTGATCACGCCTTTTCGACCAGATGTGCCTCAATAAGCCCAATGAACTATTTGATTATTCGTGTACTTGCTGTAATTTAAACATTTTATCCACTGTGTAAAATTATATATGAGTCTGATTGAGCTCATGTCTGCATAGCAATCCTTATGTATTCTTGATTAAGATCATGGATCAATCAACGTTAGACCACCATCGAAATTCTGAAAGCACTGGACGGCCGTTTCATCCTAATATAAGACTACTCAGTGAACATCCACGACACCGCATGAGGAATTCGAACCCAAGTCCTTCGGTCTCGGGCGGTTTTAAACACAGTCAATCAATAATTTACCCACAATCGATTAATACTCATAAAGATATATGGATTTTTTTACAGTCACACACACTCGCTTCCCTATGTCTTTGCTTTCTCCATGATTTCGAAGTTTTACTAATTATTAACAATTTACTATCTCTACAAATGGTGTTCTCACTTTTGAATAATCTCAAGTGAACTCTTAATACTACTAGGAGATTTGACCCGCGTCAAATACTCAGTTAACGGGGTACTATTTATTGGAGTTAGATGTAGAGGAAATTAGCCTCTATAGGTTAAATACACCTTTGTAAATTCAACTAAATGCATATGGATATGAACAAATATGACATAATCTAGTAATTTAACTAATATACATGCACATTTGTGCATCGGTACAAGTTGCCATACCTTATTAGCACAATAAGATGGATACCGAATTTATAGAAGGTAATTCACTGGTGATAATATATAAAAGAAAGATTACATATAAGGATATAATACAGGAAGAAAGAATTAGTTCGTAGAAAGAAAGATATGAAGCGATTTTAATCTCATAGTTTAAGGGAAGACAAAGAGTGTATACATTGACACCATTGTGATCGATTCCGAGTCTTTTTGCGGTGCGTGCTACTTATATTGATATAAGTAGTATATAACGCGAGTGAAAGAACGTAATGTCTGGTAGCAGAAGATGGGGGAAGATCAAGAAAGGAAGAGCGAGAACACAATGGAATTTGTAAGAAACCGCATGAACAATGAAATATATTCGGTTGTCCCCGCCTGTGTTCTGTTCACTACGACATCACCCGCAGTCTCCAACCATTGGGTACAATAGTCACGCGTACCCCAACCAAGTGGTCTGAATCTACCAACATGGCTGAGACTAGAAGTTAGTGACTTCAAGGATTGATGCGACGTTTTTTGTTTGGCCACCCATAACTTTATTCCATCCGTCTCCAACACTAGTCAGCATTGTGAATCGTGGTAATCAGTGTTTAGGTATATGTAACATGTGGCCCAACCACTTCCATCGATGAAGATTTACAACCTCATCAACTGATTTACCATCATTCCCTAATACTCTGAATCTAACCTCACTTTTGCTTACCCAATGATCCTATCAGATGCGAGTAATATTTCTAAGACATCTGTGATCAATTATCAGTAACTTACAAGTATCTTCTACTCTTAATAGTTATGTTTCACAATCGTGAATAATGCTAATAATACTCAATAATCAATCCATATGATTCCTAACTATCTTCTATTGAATAGTTTTACATATTCAACCTACCACAGTTATGATAATGATGATAAATCTTCAAAAAAAGAGAAAACTCACGAGCAGACTAGATAGTAGACTAGGTAACATGTAGACATCTTATGTTAAAAAGAAAGAAAGAAAAAAGAAAAACACCAGTAACAGTAGGAATGAGTAGTTAGGCTAAGATTACTAGAAAACAAACGATGGAACTTCTAAATAGAGTAAAAAAATTTATGGCGTCAGACTGAAAACGAACCAAAACAGACATTCATCTTCATAATAGTTTTGTTATTAATATACTATACTAATATAATAATAGTCTACTATGGAAGAGAACAGACCAGATTGCAGTGGGGGAGGAAATCAAGAAGAAGTACTGGTAATGTATAGGATACATAATGAAGAAAGTATCCAACTGTGTCATAAGGCAAGCTCTTACTTGGAATCCTCAAGGCCAAAGGAGAAGAGGAAGACCATAGAACACATTACACTGAGAAATGGAAGAATAAACAACGACTGGATAGAAGTAGAAAGGAAGGAAGAGGACAGAGTGGGTTGTAGAGTGCTGGTCGATGGCCTATGCTCCTTCATTGGGGTTAAAATGTGTAAGTAAGTAAGTAAGTAATACAATAATAGGACTGGGGAGCTGAGATTATGAGAACTCGATTAATACACAATACTTAGGTTGGAATGCATTATACGAGATATATAAATCACAAACTAAAATAGAAAATTAGAGAATAAGTTAGATAATATTTGATTTAGTACTATTAAAGAACTGTCTATACTTGATGAATTCAGAGTAAAAGTTAGTACCGGGAAGAAAGGAATGAACATTCAACTTATTACCTACACTTAGCGCTTCTGGATACTAAGAGCAACCTTGTTAGCGGAGATCGGACTAAACCATCGCACTTATGCTTAACTTGGATTATTTGGTGTTCACTCTTCCAAACTTTAAAAATCGTGTTGGTCTCGGCTTGTGTAGTTGTGTGGGTAGATATATCCAAAAGATGTTAACTGAAATATTTACCTTATGTCTAATAAAATCATCAGCCTAAACTATCAGGTTAAAGACATAACAAAATGATATGGTACGATGTAATAGAAAGAAGTGACCATTAACATTCCCTGAGAGGGTGCATATACTTATGTGCCCATCGTGAGATGCATGGACGAAAGTCTTCGTACCAGTGATGTGCATGAAGTGTGTAAGAGACAATCAATTGCAGCAAATACGTTTGAAGTAAGCAGTGACCATCTACTATCCTAAGTGGGTGAATGTAACTATAAGTTTGCTATAGGATGAATGAGTGAATACTTATATGTTACCGGTATGCATGTAGTCTATACTTGACCCTGGTACGACGCCCGCGCCTTAAGACTTGGGAATCGCAACAATGTCCCCACGAAAACAAGTCCACGCGGTGAGTTTGTGAGTCTCGAAAAGAGGATTCTAATCCAGATAACTCAATCAACTTTACTGAATAAGGATTCACTAAATTCAAATGGCTGAAACACCACACTACAAATTGAAATCATATATTTCATAGTTAGCACCTCTCAGTCCATGCATAACGATCAATCACATTTTACTTTCACTACTAAACGTCGAGTTTTTGTCAATAACAATTGAATGGCGCCACATTAGTTTAATAGCGTTATATATACATATCAACAAACTTATTAATGGTCATAAGTGATTCAATAGTTTTGATTTTGCGTCATGTCGTTTCGTTATCAATCATTTAAAATCAAAAATCAGTATTACAAACTTTATAAGCAAAGATAGACAGTGGATAACAGTGAAATCCAGGGCACGCTTTTCGTCCTATTTGGGACTCGTCAGCCAGACGTACCTGCATCTCAGAATTGATGTTCACTCTAGGACTCAAAGTGAATACCGTTCGTTTCAAACGCTATCGCGTTATTCACCTAGATACTGAATCTTGATGGCCACATGCTTATGCAGTGTGTTGAAGTTTAAATTCACTTGTTATTGTTTGCTTGAATCTTTCCATTAGCGTTTAGGACTGTAGTTGATCAGTCTCTTATTGGCATATGTACATTCAGCCGATGAATCCCAAGTAGGACGAAATGCTCATTTCAAATTTCACTGCTTGCCATCATTCATCTTTATTTATAGGGTCTGTGACGCAGGGCACTATCGAAGCAGTTCGAACAGGATGCACATTTGCCAACAAGAGCCTGATCAATTGCAGTCCTAAAACAACAATGGGAAGATACAAGCAAATAATACCAAGTGACAGTTTATATTGATTGGAATGTAATAAACAGAAGTTTTCTAGAATAAAAAATAAGTAAACAAACATAGAAATGATGAAAGTTACTCATGGCATAAGTGGTAAGTAAAGAGTTTACTTTCAAATCGTTATTCTGATTCGTATAGTTAATATCA